GACACACACACCAAGTACGTGAAAACAGTCAAATATTGGTGCCCAGACCAGAGAATACTCAAATATGAAAAAAATATGAGCAACAAGTGAAAAGAGACAGCGAACGACTTAACAGACAGTGTAAACCAACCAGCCAAACAAGGAGCAAACAAACAAACAGACAGACAGAAACAGTCAGACAGACAGAGAGGGAGACAGTCGTACGCACGTAATGTTGATGAACGACCCGAACTTTCAACCTTGCCCTCTTTTTTCCACCTGTGACCGTTCCCCGCTGCAACAACAAACAAAATTAGAATCCAGCTCATACCGACTTACAAAATAGGCAGAAAAGTAAACAAATATGAACATTAAAACGATACAAATTCAAGTAAATAAACATACAAACATAGACATACAAATACAAACATAAACATAAACATAAAAATACAAACATAAACATAAAAATACAAACATAGGCATAAAAATACAAACATAGGCATAAAAATAGAAACATAGGCATAAAAATACCAACGTAAACAAAAACTGGTCCACTGGTATAATTGAGAATAACTGAATTATCACGAAGTTACATCCAAATCATCTGAATGCATTTTTAAACAATGTGATCTAAGAATACGTACATAACAATACAAATACCTCTTAATATACCACTTATCGAGACAATAAACAGCACATACACAAATATTTTTTTCTATTTTTCTAAACATTCACCGTTTCCAAAGCAACAAAACACAAACAAACAAAACAAATGTGCTTATGTTTGTAGTTTGTACACACGCTGAGTGTGTGTGTGTGTGTGTGTGTGTGTGTGGGTGTGTGTTTATGTCTCTGTGTGTGTGTCTGTGTGTGCGTCTGTGTGTGTGTGTCTGTGTGTGTGTGTGTTTCTGTGTGTGTGTATTTAATAAATGTGTGTGTGTGTGTGTATAATAAATAAATAATACAAATAAAGCATTGAAAGTTAACATCAACACAAAATAATTTTTCAAATTTGAAAAAACGGTTTGAAGGCAAAAGTCATTTATTTGGCGCTTAACCGCAATCGACATAACCGTTCGGATAATTCGGGCTGATGTGCTTCTTAATTTGACGTCATTTCCGTTTTGATCATTTTCAGTATCTTTCAAATTGATGAAAAGTAAATTTGTTTTGATGAGTAGCGTACCTAACGTAAACTTTTTTTTTGAAATTCGGTGAAAACTTAAATTTAATTTATTTAATAATTTGTTTAATCCCGTTTTGCCAAAATTTGAATTCTTAAATTTAAAAATACGCACACAAAAATAAAAATAACTCACGCTAAAAATCTAAATTTTAAAATAATAAAAAAATTTGAAAAAATAATAAATTTATATAAGTAATAATAAAATAAATAAACAAATATATCCATTAACCCTATGAAGAAAAAGAGAAAGAAAGAGAGAGAAAGATAAAAATTATTAAAAAAAAAAGAGTCGATGATTGAAAAGTTTTAATTACTAATTAAAGTCAATATCAATTCAAATTTGGAGAGAAGAGCTGAAGTGTAAATTTAATGAGAGAGAGGTGGACGTAGAAAGAGGAAAAGAGAGAGAGAGAGAGGAAAAGAGAAAGAAAGAAAGAAAGAGAAAGAGAGAGAAAACCAAATAAAAAAGTGAGAGGAAAGCAAAAACGGGAAAAATGGTAAATAGTAAAAAATTAAAAACACAAGTAGGATGCTGATAAAAATGATGATGATGATGACCGTATAAAAAATTTCTGGTATTGGTATTGGCGATACTTATAATGATGGGAGGATGGTGATGCTGGCGAGAGAGAGAGAGAGAGGGTGAGAGAAAAAGAGAGCTGGCAAGAGAGAAAGAGAGAGAGAGAGATGTAAAACCACATGTGACATAAACAAGATCTGTTATGATGATGATAAGCTTCCGTAAGTGTTGTCTTCCATATTTCTTTCTTTCGTTTTCTCTTTTTTCTTTTCTGTCACTGTTTCTCTTTTTCTCTCTTTCTCTCACTCTTGTTTTTTCTTTTTACTCCATTTTACTTTTTTTTACCACCATACTTTTAGTTTTTTATCTATTTGATTTTCTGTATTAAAATCACAGTAAGATTCTGAAAACATTATATTCATTCATCATTCGTTCGTTCAATCGTTTGCTCAATCAATCAATCAATCATTCAATTAATCAATCAATCAATCAATCAATCAGTCAGTCAGTCAGTCAATCATTCATTCATTCATTCATTCATTCACTCATTCATTCATATTCATACCACATATGGGCATGATTAGGAGAAAAAAACATTTAAGCTTCAGTGCATGTCTTAAACATGACCTGACAGTACGCTGATGATAAAAAGTTGAATTCAGTTATTAAAAAACCCAAAACTGTTTATTTTTATATTTTTATTGTTGTTGTTTTCTACTTTGTATATGCTTGCGTATACATGTAGTATCTAACACATGCAAACACATACATACAAAGTTTACAAAATTGTATTCAAATGTTTGTCTACATACCTGTATAGGCACATACATGTTGTATACACATACATACATACGTACACACACACATACGTACGTACGTTCATACACACGTACATATGTACATTCATACAATTCACGGAAGTGTACGAAAGTGTGTACGGCACCTAATATACAATTCTTACAAATGCATTCGCTAGATGCTCCATGCATTAATGATGATCTCATTGACGTTGTTGTCGTAGTGGTGGCGATGATGATCGTGATGGTGATGATGGCTATGATACTGGTGATGATGATGATAACGATGATGATGATTGTTGTGATGATGGTGATAATGACGATGAGTATAACGGTGACTAAGAAGATGATGATTGTAGTAAGCAATAATGAAAGTATTAGTGGTAGTAGTGGTAGTAGTAGTAGTAGTAGTAGTAGTAGTAGTAGTAGTAGTAGTAGTAGTAGTAGTAGTAGTAGTAGTAGTAGTAGTAGTAGTAGTAGTAGTAGTAGTAGTAGTAGTAAGAGTACTAGTAAGAATAAAAGTGGTAGTAGCAAAAGTTAATAGTATTATTATTATTATCATCATCATTATCGTCATCATTACTATTATTGTTGTTGTTGTTGTTGTTGTTGTTATTGTTTCTCAACATCAAGTAATATATGACGAAAAGTTGAAGTGCTCGTTGAAGATGCCTGCCTACTTAGACGAGGAGACCATCGCGATACGGTTGCAGCTCCAGCAGTATTATTATTATTATTGTTGTTGTTGAGGTTGAAGTTGTTCATGTTGTTGAGATTGAGGTTGTAGTTGCTATTGTTGTTGTTGTTGCTGTTGTTGTTGTTGCTATTGTTGTTGTTGTTGAGGTTGTTGTTGCTGCTGCTGTTATTGTTGTTGTTATAGCTTTATGATGCCTGTGTTGATGACGACGATGATAACGATGATGACCATGATGACCATCACGATGGTGATAATTATGATTATGGTATGACGATGACCGAGATAATGATGATGAATACAATGTTAGTATACGCAAAAATGATTATTTCAGCAATGTCTACGACAACGATGATGATGACGACGATGACGATGATGATGACGATGGTGATAGTGATGATGATGACAGGATTATTTATACCGAAGTCATTCTCCTCATCACGTTGAGTGTTTGTACTGCCATCATTTTCATCATCGTCATCATCTTCATCATCTTCTTCATTTTATTTCTCTTGATCATCATTATCATCATCAGTGTTTACAACATCGTCATCATCGTCATCGCCATCATCATCATAACCTTCTTCATTTACAGAAGTGGACCCAATTGTTTAGGGTTGAACAATTCGAAGTGCATATTCTATGATCAATGATGATGACGACGACGACGATGATGATGATGATGATGCGATGATGATGTTGATGATGATGATGATAACAACGACGATGATGGTGATTGTGATTCATTGTCATCATTATCATCATCATCTTCACTGCAGTCACACAATCAACCTGGTCATAAGCTATGTTTGATGAACACGAACAAGCACACAAGTCAGACTTTTCGTCTCCGTCATCATCATCATCATCGTCGTCATCATCTTCTCTATCATCTTTCCCATCATATTCCCCATCATCTTCCCCATCATCTTCATCCCTCTCATCATCATCATCTTCCAGATACTCTTCGTCACCGACAACAGACCTTTCATCATCGTCGTCATTATTATCATCCTCTCAAACTACATCATCTTCTTCATTCTCATAATCATAATAAAATGGTGACAACAACAAAAAATGATGATGACGACGACGACGACGACGATGGGGACCGTGACGATAAGGACGATTCATTATTTCCAGGCTTATAATGTGTCCAATCTTGCCATTGTTATTTTGACACCTGATGACAGCCGATAAGTCCGTCAGCGATTTTCAATTGAAAAATGACGTACCCGAAATTTTCATTAAATTAATCATGTGTCATATATCATGTATTACCATTTTGGATCATTTTCTTCACATTTTTGCTTTTATTTTTTCAGTTTTTAGGCTTTGTTCATCTTTTCATTCACTGTTCAAGCTGTTCTTTGTATCTGCACGTGTTAAATCATGTTTATCGTTTTAAGCTTTTTTTAAATAACATTTTTTAATAAGAATGATGCTATATATATTCTTGTTTAATTTATATATTGGCTTAAATGGTTATTCCGTTTCTGAAAAAAACAGCCCTTCAATGGCCATTTTCTTCTTTGTAAAGTTACAAACTTTAATGGAATATGATGTAATAGCTAGAATATGCTATCAACAAAATTTTTCTAATTTACTTTGCATTTTTCTTGTTTATTAAACAATACAATATTATAAACCATACTTCTTTATATTCCATTCATTCATGGCTGTTAAAAATCCATGGTTCTTCAAATCCTTACATACCTAGTGTATAAAATATAACTCCATTTATTTCAACTCCATGTTTAAAAATGAATCTATCAGAAGCGGAAACACTAAATAGCATCTAATTCACGTGTTTTGTCATTGATAGCGGACGATCGTATCTTTTCCTGTGCCGGTTCCTAATTATTTCAACAAATTCCTAACAATATCTCCGTCAAACATGTTTAGATTGGTTTTGAAGTCGTTTTGTAATGCTGTCGTCAGGTCGAATGCGTCGCTCGTAAAAAATGTTCAAAGTTGCAGATTTCTCAGTTGCAGCATTTCAAGAAGTTATCTGACAGGGAATGTCCTTTTCAAAAATGGCCCAAAACTGGCCTGCTTATCTTCATGTAACCGGCTTCGACAACTTCACAGTTCAGGTTAGTTTATAATTAAATTAAAGCATTTTTTTCTTTTAAAAAATAAATTTCATCATCTCATCCATTTGTGACAAAAGTAGTAATAGTAATGAGTGGCAGCCAGTTTAATAATTATTGAATATTCTTCTTAAACGAATCAATATAATTATAGTATAGTTTATTAATTGTTAAAGTTGTAAATTAGTGATTCAGCTTTTCTAAAGTCTAGCTCTGCTAGTGTTAGACTGGAAGATTAGACTCAGTATTCTTTTTTATATTTCATTATTTTTTTATTAGACTTACTAGTATATTTACTACTTTTTAATAATTAATTAAAAGTATTTATTAATTCTTTGCAATTGTTTTTTGTGAAGGTGATGCAGATTTAGCAGAGTACTTGAAAGATGAAATCAAACTAGAAAAAGAACATGACAAATCTATCAGTAAGAAGGTCAGAGGCTTTGAGGTCAGCAAGTCAGAAGGTCCCAATGTTGTACTTACCAAGAAACAAGACAATGAAACGTTTGTATACTTTCATTTTGTGTTATACAAATTATAATATTTTAAAATAGTCCTATTCAGTTATGTTAGGTACATTGATTTAATAATGCATTAATTATGTCAGTAATAATTACATCAACAAAATATTTATTGATTTTGTGAACTTTTTCATAATATTTTTTACAGAATAACAATCAAATTCAATGTGAACAACACTGTTGAAGATTCATTATTAAGCTCAACAGACCAGCAACAGCAAGAAGATGATGTTGCTGTATGTATAATTACTATTTTGTTTCATTACTCTCCATATTACTATCACATTAATTTCAAATGTTATTTTGCCATCTTTTTTAAATTATTTTCTAAAAAAATTACATTTCAATGTCAGATGGTCTCGAGGCCAGCATTCGTGATTGAGATAGACAAGGGTGGTGAAGAGAAACTGGCAATTCATTGTGTGTTTCCAACTCATGAAGACTTGTCTAATGAGACACCGTCTAATGAAGAGGCCTATGGTTGGTTTTTGTGCTGTTGCTATTGTTGGCCGCATTTGTTATTGCATTTATTTATTTGTAGCACGAACATAATTTTTTTTCTCAAGTATTGTAATTTGTGTCCTATAGTATTTTAGTTATTGATTTTTTATCTGTTGGTAAAAGCTGAGCTAGATTTTTTTAGATGATTGTTTGGTGAATTAATTTTTTTTTGGCTGTAGTAATTATGGTTTATAACGTCTTACCTTGGGGAACCGGGTCTCTGGAAGCAAAATGAAGATTGATTGATTGATTGAATTATGGTTGATAACATCAATAATAAATGGTGACATTGATGGTGTATTTTTGAGAGAATGATAAGCCAGAAAAATGATGATATTCATTTATGTTTCCTCATTAATGTTTGAGCGAATAACCAACAGACACCATTCACATTAACAGAAGACTTGCTCGAGATTCAGGATGTTGCTCTGCTGAAGAAAAACCAGGAATGGGACGATGATGTTTATTCCCTGTCCGGCAATGTCATGGATGGGGTCTGCAAATTTTTCTAATGCATTTTACTACTTATTATTTACTAATTTTACCACTGACGTTTCTTACTATTCACCAATTTTACTACAAATACTACATATTATTAACTAATTTGACTACTTATACTTCTTATAACTCTCTAATTTTTCTACTTATACTACCTACTCACTAATTTTACCACTAATAATACTTGCCGTTCACTAATTTTGCCTATTTTTCACTAATACTACTCTACTACCTGGTGCTATTCACATTAATACTTTCCACCATGCATCATTTTCTAGCTGATGTTTCTTACTTTTTGCTAATTATAAACTAATACTTTCTACCTGTTTTCTGATAATACTAACTCATTACCAATTTTTCTACCAACGCTAAATTTCACTAAATTTACTACTAATACTACAATACTTACATGATTTACTAAATGTGATTTTGCTCACTGAAACCACTACGTTCAATTACTTCACAGTACAGTTATACTGCTTACTTAATGATACTAATAACAATAGAAGCAATAATTGTAGTAATAATTGTAACAATAATTATAACGCTAATTATAAAAAATAGTAATAGATAAATCCATTGACATAAATTTGATAGAACCTGTATGACATGCTGTTGAAGATGTTGGAGGAGAGAGGTGTGGATGCAGACTTCCTGGACGATCTCGTTGATTGGAGTACTTCTTACGAGCACAAGAACTATGTCACTCTACTGGAGGGCATTCAGTCATTCGTTAAGTCCAAGTGATGAGGAAAGCTTTGAATTGTTGGAGGTTTTTTGGAGTTCTGTGACAATTTTTTGAGGATTTATTCTGTATGTGTCTATTATTATCATTAATATTTTGTTTTTGTCTGTCTGATTGGTTGGTTGGCTGAGTGGGTAGACAATGATGTTGTTGTTGATGATGATGATGATGATGAGTGGAACAATGATGAAACTAAGAAGAAAATTTGCTTGTGTTATTTTTTTTATAAAAGTTGTCGATTTTCATTTGAAATAACATATTGAATTTTATTTAGGCTGTTGTTTTTTATAGTTGATGTAATTCTGTTATTGTCACTTATTAAGCTAAAAAAAATTGTGCTGTTATGTGTTTAGCGTTTTTTCTAGATGAACAGAAAAATTAAAATATTTTCATTGTTGTAACTGTTTTTATTTAATATAATTAGTAAAACGTGTTGCATAATGGTAAAGAAGAGATATTACAACTGCCACACAGCTGGGTTTTGTCTTTCAAGTTGTCATTGTTAATAATCTTAATTCACAACAAACAGTTGCTACAACAAAATGTATAGACATGATTCTGAATAGTGAAAAAAATAACATTGCATAGATTCATGATGTCAAATAATACGATTTTGTATATTCTACAAATGTTTAAATAAAAATGAATTTAAAAAATATTCGTCGATAAGATAATACGGTTATAAAATAGCATGTGAGTTAATAAAGGCTGCTCTTATTCATTTAAGCAAAAATTGATGGCACGATTTTCATATCTTAAGAATCTTTCTACAATTTGTAATCTGGTTTTCAACGTTAAGTAAGGCCACGCCTATAACGTTGCGTCGGTTGTAATTTTGATCCGTCTTTACATCTCTGTACGTAATAGTAACTACAATCGTAGTTATTCTAGCAAGACTCGTGTGCTGACGTCACGTAGCAAGCGCATTACGTCATAAGATAGCGTGCAATCTCTCGGAAGGGACTGTTTGACGTTATGAACGTTGAGGTCGTACCTGAAATGTAATGCATTGGATACACTTCGTGTTCGTATTTTAGAATAACTGAATTATTCACTAGTATTACAGTATCGATTTGTTTATCCAGGAATGAAAGTTTAACCTGAAATCAAGTGTGTAGTTAGCCTTTAGCCGATTCAGCAATTTTGAACCGTAAATCAAAAATTTTCCCATAACGAAGAAACATTTGTACAGCAGAACTACCAATGCTCCGTCTAGTTTTGTGTGATCATTTTCATCTGTGGCCTCGCTTGATAGGCAGCTCATGATTATCACCATCAATCTGTCGACAAATTTTGTCTGTAAAAGTACAAAATAAAAATTTATCCTAAATTTATTGATGTTTTAGTGTGAAATCCTTACAAAATTTTCGTTGGCTTCGGCGTGTTGTACAAACCATCGCGGACAAACTGGATTTTTATCGTTTTCCGTCAGACAGAATGGCGCTTGTGTACACAATATGAACAACTCATGAAGTAAACCCACCGAATGGACAGTATGATCTACCAAAAAATTCTGCATTGAGGTGGGATTGGTATACATTTTTAGTCAGAGATTCAACTAAATTTCATACAAAGCTTACGTAATAACAAGTTTGTTTTAAAGGGAAAATATAAGAAGAGTTACTAAATTTTCGGCATTCTCATGTTCTTCATTAAGTGCATTCAAACATGCAAATACGATGCACTGAATCAACTTGATCAGATTTTCTCCATCATTCCTAATTACGTAACCAACTCTTATTTCATACGCTTCCGTCTCCGAGAGTGAGAGAGTAAAAATTTTCATGAGATCCAAAAGAATTCTTGTTTGAAAAATTTTTTCAATTTGTACTTGAAATTTCCCATTGAATTTAAAAAATGTGATTATGCTGTTAATATAATTCGTTACTTTTTGACGAGTTCATCTCCATTGTTCATTTCTATAATTAAAGTATCTTTAAATATTTCAACTAGTTTTAAGAGTTTCAAGAAAAGTGTTTCATCCTAATGAATATATTTTAATAAAGAAATGTTTATTGTAGGTAAAAACGCTTCAACTTTATCAAAAAAAATTTCAATATAGTTAGTACTAACTTGCCAAAATAATTTTCTCGATTTGGTGTCTAATTCAAGTTCGTATATGATACGCGTCAAAATTTCACTACATTTTGTCAAGTTAAGTTTCGTTTTAGCCCAGTCAGTCAGTTCACATTCTAGCTTCTTGAAGTTATTGTCCCATTTTGTTGGACTATTATAAAGTGTAAAATGTTATCGAAAAGAAAAAATTTAGCAAAAATAATCAAAGAACACAAACGTTGAAACGTGGTGTTTGTTATTTTGCCAGATTGGTTGCTTTTCGGCCTGGTGCTAATCAAAAAATATTTTGTTGAGCAAAACAAACAATCAAAGAAGTCTACATACATACCATTTTGAAGTTAATCCAAGCTTGGCGAAGGTAGAAAAAAAGCATCGAGTGCCTGCTTAACAGGTAGACATCTAACACCTCTTCTGCTAAATAACTTTTCTCATTTTTTGGAAAAGTTTCACTAGAAATATATGCAACAATTATTTTTAAAGTTAATTTTTTTAACAGAATCTAGATTACCAATCGTTGAAAAGAAATTCTAGGGTGGTGTTCTCAATCATTTTCGATTCTTCAATCAATTTTTCCTCATCTTCAGCATCCTTGTGCAACGCATCCATTGCACTCATTATGAAATTGATATCTTTAAATTTGTGCTCCAAGGCTTCAGCCATGGGAAGTTTGACTCTCTTCAGTCCAATTTTCATGAGACACGACATGCTGATGCAGGAGTTGAGTTCGTTCAAATCGTACTTGGTTCCGATGGATAGTGCTTCTGGGTCATTTGTTGGCTTGCTGGACAATGGAATAATGATGTATTCTTTTTTGTGGAGGTCATCAAGTTTGTCGTTATCGCCTATCAGGTTGAGTTTGTCGTAATAAAAAGGTACCACTGCAATAAGAGGCGCCACTGGAATAAGAGTGGTCTGATTTGGCTGCAGAATCGCAGCTTCGTCTAAATTTTTTGCTTCCTTATTCTCTTTCTTATTTGCTAACTTGTTTGATTTTTTCTTTTTATCATCAATTGTTAATGAGTTTTTTAAGGATGCAATTTGTGTTGCGCTTATGTTAAATTCACTTACGGTTAGCTTTCCGAATATTTCCATTGATGGTAAGATGAGTTTTTCAATTGTTTCTGTGGTTTCTTTAACGGTTTTCTCCTTCTTTTCTGTTTCTTTATTTTTTCCGAAAAAATTTTTAAGCTCTGCTGTGATGTCCTTTTCTAATTTTCTGTTGGCCAAATATATTATTGAAATGTGCTGACAGTCGTCGTGATCCTTTCCTTTCAAAAAATCAGGCTGATCAGATTCCTGCAAGTACAATAAGCAAGCAATCGATTTATTAGTTGTGCAGATGGGTAATGATATTTATTAAATATATAAAATCTTAATTTAAAATAACTAAAAGTTATAATGATTAAGTGTAAGTTATTTCGTTTGGTGTAACAATTATCACTTATCATTTGTTTTTATTAAAATAAAATTTACAAAAACTAATTCGTGTAAATGTTGAAATAAATACCAACCAGCGTAACATCGAGTACGTCAGCGAAGTCGATAACTTTCTTGTAGGTGTTAGGAATACTCTCCGTCAGACAGACGCCGTCTCTCTCAATCACAATAAACTTGAACTGTTTCTTGTACTTGACCGACGACACGACGCAGGGTTCAAACGCAAGGATGGCCTGTTGTTTGGAGGGAGGAAGATTATGAAGTAGAAATTTGTTGAATCTGTACTGTTTAACTTTCGACGTGATGACATTGGTACCGACAGATAGATCCATTATTGGGGCAGGTTAACATGCATATAGCTGGTTCGACTGCAGACAAAAACCACAACCATTATTCTGTCTAGAAAATTTATTTCAAGAATGTCTAACAGTTTATTAATATAGTCTCCAGCAAACCGTGCGTTATGTTTTATAGGTACATTTAGCCAGTTTATACATATACACGTGCCTGTCTGTTTGTCTGTTCATACACCCCTACATATGCCTGTCTGTATGTGATCGTGTAATAAATATATCTGTGTATGTCATTGCATGTATAAAGCATGTATAGTATATGTGATAGCATGTTTATGAATGTGCTATGCATGTGATTTTATGTAGCTAACGTTTGGTATATCTGATTGTATCTAAGTAGCAATGCTTATATCATTAACCTTTGTGTTATATTCGTTTTATATTTGTTTAATATAGCACTCTTGTGAGTATGTGTGAATAATAAATGAAATGTACGTGTGTGTGTATGTGTGTATGTATGTATGTGAATGTATGTATATATATATATATATATATATATATATATATTTACAATATTCTATATATATATATATATCGATGTGTGGTGGGTTGTTGTCATGACAACGTCTATAATTCAATATTTACGATCAAATTGTTTAGATACCATATATAAAACAAAAAAATTATTTCAATTATAATTACTATACTTACTAAAAAAATATTTTCAGGGTTTTATAGTTTTGAACCTTAAACAGTAAGAAGTAAAATAAAAATACTTATCTTATCTTATTTGGACTTTTTTGCATTAAATTAACTTTTCAAATACAAACACATCAAATTTAAAAATCTGCTTTTGGTGAAATTTCACTAAAATATCAAATAATAAGAAATTTTTAGTGTTTTCAGTTGACAAAATTATGAAAAAAAAGACTTTTAAAATGATAATTGCCACCTGGAACATAAACGGAATAAGAACAACTTTGTCCAAAACTCCTCTAAAAAAATTGTTTCAAGAACTTGGTTGTGATGTGATTTGTTTGCAAGAAACTAAAATTACAGGTTAGTTAGTGTATGATGAAATTAGTGCAGTGGAGATCCGAATGGGATCCAATGTTTAATATCAAATGAAATTGAAATACAGTATATATTGTATAATATTATATAATAATATTATATAAATAATATTATTATATAATATTAATATTTTATTTAACTTTTTATTATTATTATAATAATAATTAATAGTATATAATCATTATAATGACGCTGATTGTGTTCATATTTTATATTTCAACTTTTAACCTATCCTTCATTCATTTTTATTTATATTCATATTGTATAAATAAATTATACTACATTGGCATATAATATTATCTATATCACATATTATCATTTTATTACATATACATAATATAAATAGATTTAATAAGAATAATATAGATAGATAGATTATAACATTATACAATACATTATTGTATTATACTACACTAAATATATGGTGTATATCACAGTATCTATATATCATCAGCCATCTGATATCACAACGTATCACACATATATAGGGGACTATCTTGATGGGAGCACTGCAATTGTGGAGGAATGCAATTCATATTTCAGCCACTCTAAAGTAAAATCTGGATACTCAGGTAGCTACTGTATAATTATTTTTTTTTATATTACCTAATTATATAATTATAGTAATATTTATAATATATTAATTATATATAATAATATAATAACAAAATAAGGTTGAATTTAAATAATCCTAATGTTTTCAAAAATTGTTTCTAACTAAATATATTTCTAGGTTGCTAGTATTTCATAGTTATACCATGTTGAGTATTTATCATTGACATAGTAGACTTTATAGCATTATTTTTAATTATATTACAATTTAAATTCACATTTGTTTATTTATAGTAAATGTTTAAATTCTTAACTTATTGTTAAAAAATTATCATTATTTTCAATCAAAATTTTTCTTTGCAGGAGTTGCAATTTTTGCTAAAAACAACTTCACACCCGTATCAGCTGAGGAAGGTCTGACAGGGAAATTAAGAGCCAATCAGAACGCCCCAAATTCACAAGTAGGTAATTCTGGCGATGACCTGACACAGTTTTCTGATGGCCTGACCCAGTTTTCTGATGACCTGAACCAGTTTTCTGATGATGAACTGCTGGCATTGGATGGGGAGGGTAGATGCTTGATGACAGAGCATATTATACTGTGCGTTTCTCATGCTATTTCAACGTTTCTTGACGCCATTAAGCTTTGCTGATATTATTTTTGCTATAACATGAAGGTAATAAAATATAATATTGATGATACTGATACGCACGATAATATTTTAAAAAATTTATTCGTTAGAAATAAAGAAGAGAGAGAGAGAAAGAGAGAAATTTTGTCATACATATGTCAGTTTACTTCAATATGTATGATTTATTTGAGATAATGAAAAAAGGGGGAGGGAAAGATGGTGATCACGAACGTGTATATTTATGATAGATATATCAATATGTTTGATATCATTCGCTAGAGATAATGAAGAAAGAGAGAGGAAATTGGTCATCATAAATGTTTACTGCCCAAGAGCAGACCCAGACAGGCCAGAGAGATTGTCATTCAAACTGAGGTTCTATCAACTTTTGCAGATCAGAGCTGAAGCACTCCTCAAAAGTGGAAGGTCATTTATTTTTGTATCTATTTATATCTATTTGGTATCTATTTTATTGTTTGATATCTATTTTAGTATCTTTCTTTGTCTTTTTGTTACGATATTAAACTCAGTTTGATTGATACCTATCTATGCATGCAGGCACGTTGTGATAGCAGGAGACATCAACACAATCCATAAACCTATTGACCATTGTGACCCTGCCAGTGACCAGGTCGGGTCACTATGAACCATTTTCCATTTATTTTTTTATCGCATTACACTATTTATTGTTCAAAAAATGCATATTTCAGGAGTTCATGGAAGATCCAGGCCGGCAGTGGATGGACGGATTCCTTCGTAGCTCTCCAACTCCATCACTTCCACCACAGAACAACCTTCTTTTGCCACAACTTCGCCAAGAACGCCAACCAAAATTTGTTGATCTGTTGAGATTATTTGAACCGAAGACTGCCAACTTATTCACAAACTGGTGCTCTACAACGGGTGCCAGGGCCACTAACTACGGATGTCGACTCGATTATATATTCGCTGACATTGAATTCGCTTCGACTTACTGTACGAGCTGTTACATCAGACCAGATATCATGGGTTCCGATCATTGCCCTGTCGTCGCTCACTTCAACTGTCGAGTTATTCCTGCCGAAAGATGCCCACCGCTCTGTTCCAAATATCTGCCACAGTTTGCGGGTAAGCAGACGAAACTGTCGACTTATTTCGTCTGCGGTGACTTGAGTTCTTCTCAAGAAAGTTGCTCTGGTAGCGGTCGTGGTGTTAGTGATTTCAGCTCCAGTAGTAACTTTAGTATCGGTAGTATTAATGATAGTTACGAGAAAAGTAATAAACATGGCTCGCCGTTAAGCATTACAAATAACAAACGAACGTTGGGCGGTAAGTGTAAAAAAGCATCTAATTTTAAAACCGACAGCAAGACGATTATTAAATTTCTTTCTCGTGAGAAGTTGCATGCCAACTCTGAAACACA